ATATAAATTATTATAAAAAATTATATTTATTACATTTTAATTTATATATTTAAAATGTAAATTAAACGAAATTTATATTAATTTTAATATAAAAATCAAACAATATTTCTCTTGAAAACATGATAAAATTGATGGGAATTGGATTCCTTAAATGGTACTTTCGTTAACTAAAATTTTGAGCTGTAGTCATCAATTCTAGGGGTTATGCTGTAGTGGCAAAACTCATTGAAAAGTTGAAGAAATGTGTTCGAACCTTGGAGGCGGCAGTTTCAAGCTTTGAAGCTTGAACCCATCGTGGAAGGGAAAAGGACGTTTACGGTCCAGCATGGCGAATTCGCTCGGCGGGTTTACCGGGTTGGACGGGTCTAGCGGGTTTCCGGGTTTGAATTTCAACGGTCGGATCGTTGAAACGGGCCTGGGTGTCCACCATCCAGCTCGTTTCCTCAACCGGGTGGCAGTCGAACAGGTCGGACCGATCAATCCAGTCCGATTTTGAAAACACTAGCACAGGGCCCTAGGATAGCAATTTGCCCTGCGCCCGCGGGAGGCGGGCTGTGGATTGCGACAGAGAACATTTTCGCTCCTGTGAAACTTCACAAGTATCACTGTCCTGGGATCCGGTTCATAGTGAAATATTAAAAAATAAAGAAAAATTATTGGGTCTCAATATCTAACTCATAATTTAAACGTACTTATTACTTATTTTTAATTTTAATTTTAATTTAATATAAGTAATTATTTTAAACCAAATTCAGTAAACATATTTTTTTTATATAATTCAACTATTTGAGATATTTTATTTTAAAATAATAAAAATCAAAATAGTTAAATTAAATTTATAATATAGATGAGAAGGAATACCCTTTCAGGGCTGCAATAGACACAATTGATCCAAACCAGAAAATCACTGACGAGGTAACACTTGTTTCTCGGGGAAAAACATATGAGCTGGGATTCTCTAGTCCTGATGAAGGGTCTCCGAATATGTGTTATTTTAACTTGCTTTTATTTATTTTCGTACGTTGGAAGCTATATCAGGAAAGAGATCAGCTAAACTTTAAGGAACATCGTCCCCATTGTGTCTCCTTGAAGAATTTGATTGAGACCAGCTGGAGGGTCCACCAAGTAAGTTGCGCCCACCGGTAATCCATGCCCCAAAGAAGCCATAAAATCAGTAGTAAAATTGCCTTCCCTAAGTGTGTGATTAACAAAGTAGACGCTAAAGGAACTCAATAGGCCAAATATATCAGCAAACAAAACTGTAGCAGGACCTTCCACCCCTTTTCTATCCTGTATCATCTGGACAACAAGTAAAGAATCCATCTCTAAAATTAAGTGATCAATACCCAGCTGGCAAGCTAGCTTTAAACCTTCTCTACACGTCCACAATTCTGCCAGAAAGCTTGAAGTAGTTCCTATGTGGGTTGCAAAGCCTTGAACCCAATGGCCCATTGAGTCACGAACCAACCCCCTGCACAAGCATGTCCAGAAGCATGATCCATGGCACCATCAGTATTTAACTTGAAGAACGGAGGGTCGGGTGGATACCACCTCACCCACCTTGAAGCTCGCTGAGGTCTTAAAACATTGGAAGCAAGAGCCATTTGTGTGTCAATGGCCAAAGCGCATGCTTCATGATAAACAGAAGTAGGTGGGAGTCTACAATCATCGAAAATATTGCAGAGAATAGTGTTAAGACTGCAGAGAATAGTGCATATTAATTTGATTTTGAAAAAATTTGATAAAATTTTATATTATTAAAATTAAATATATGTTAAAAGGATGATGAATGGTTTTAAATATTTAACGAACTTAAAAACTAATATGTATGATTAGATGATCTCCATAAAATCTTCTAATTAAATATTTTTTGAAAAATATTTATTAATTAAAATATGATATTTTTAAAATTATACTCTAATAATTTTAAAATGAAGATTAATATATACTATTTTTATATTTTTAACTAAACTAAATAAAGTAAATTACTAATATAATGAAAAGTTAATTACTGATGGTCTGCTATCGTGTGGTTAATATCAAGGATGATTGTGACTGATATCTGAACGTGCAGAAATTGTTGTTGACTTGAGAATAGATGAAGTCTCCTTGGGTTTTAGCTTTTGTGGAAATTCATTATTATTATTCTTATTTTAACAAGGGAAATTTTAAAAGAAAAGAGAAAATGTTATAATTGTACCTATTAAAACTTAAATTTTAACATAAGTTAACATTTTTACTATACATTATCAACTCAACAGAGACTATTAGTGTTGGAAATTCATTACATTTACCTCAACAGTTTGGGGTTTAGACATCAACCAATAAATTACATTACGATTAAAAAATGGAAGAGATGTCATGGAATCTTGAAAAGTATGGTCTGTCCGGGTATAATGGGAGCAACCTAAAGGCCCAATACATTTTCTAGCATTTCATTTAACCCAAAAATGGGAGGAAGAGCGATTAGCTGGAAAAACTTTTGTTGTTTTTGTGCCCTGGAGTATGCTCCATTCTTTACATTCTCTTTGCTCTTCTTCCCTTTCAGCACCA